CATCACTGTATTACTTTACATATGATATGAAGCCATCTTCATCCACCAATATTACATCTATTGTTTTCAAGAATGAATGCAGTTTAGAATATGGATGTAAAATCTATCATAGTCTTCTATCTATCTAATATCTATATCTATATCTCATCTATCTTCTATCTATCTATCTATCTATCTATCTATCGATCTATCTATCTATCTATCTTATCTCATCTATCTAATAATATCCCTCTTATAATATCTTATAGTACAAGTAATAGATTTTGGTTATGTTATATCAGAATGTAAGTTCCTGTAAGTTTTATGTTCCTGCAGGAGTTACACAGGTGTGACTAATTAACAGATGACAGCCGTTTCACCTGTCTCAGCAGGAAAAGCGCAGGTGTTTCTAACAACATTAACGACGGCTCTGTTGTGTTCGGGTGTCCCGGTGAGACATGACAGTGAGGCAGCACGAACAGACATGGCATTCATTCATTTTACTTACACGTGTGCTTTTCCTACAGTGACATGTCGACATGTGTTGTTGTGATAAAGGACTGTTGTGTACACCGGCTCACGGATTCTTTTCCAGTAGGAAACTCCAGAGTAAGTGCTGAACTAAAGTACCGTTTTGATGAGCTGGTGTTATGTTACTTTCTATTTAATCCACTAAATTTAATTCATGTGACAGCCACACTCACTACCTATCACTGTTATTACTTATAGGTTCTATACTTTTCTAAATATTTTACACTAGAAACATTAGATTAGCTTGTAACATATCATGTAGTTATAGATTAAAATACCAAATATTATAGTTTTTAAAGTTTCGATCATTCACAGTTTTTATTTTACATTACACCCTAGTTTAGTCGTGTAGTTCAATAGTGTATTATACTGTTTATAATATAGCAATTAGAAAACCACTTCTTTCTTACAATGTGAATTATTGTACTTACATTTTATGCCTTCCAAGCTGTGACAATTTACTGCATATAATTAAGGTCATGCCATTAAAACAATTAGTGCTGTTTACGTAATGATATATTATATATAATATGCATAGAAAAAAGAGATTATTTCTTCTGCATAATACAGTAAGTACTTTGCTGCTAAGACATTTGTACTTTAAGTAGAAATTTAATGGAAGATTTACTTGTAATTGATTATTTTTACATTGTAGTATTGGATCTGAAAACTTCTCTCACTACTGTGTAGATGTAATTCTGTTTTTCTCAATCACAAAAACACGGCCTGTCCAATCTTTCAGACATGTCACAGTAACACTGTCTATGACATGACAGGTGTTTCCTTGTTGTAAATCAATAGAGAGGGCCAAATCAAAAATAACAGCATCTGTGAAACACTTTTGGTTCTTCAGAGTAAACAGGAAGTCCTCAATGTTTGCACTATGTCACTGAAACAATGCAGCAGGACCAGCAGCAGCAGGATCAGAGCAGCCGGTCTCATGTGCACTCCAGTAAGCGATGTTCATCTGTCTGTGCTGATATGTAAACTTTCCTCTGTCTCCCTTTCCTCCGAGCAGCTCTACATGATACATGAAGTTCCAGGGCCAGGTCTGGTGCAGAGACAAATGCCAACCACTCGCTCTTCCAAATGTCAAATCTGACATGTCGTAGACATTCAATAACCATCCCTGCTGGACCGATTCAGAGCCACGCTCTTCAAACAGTCCCTGACGTCTCATGACGAGAGTCGAGGGGAAATGGCTGGATTTTATCTGCCCGTGGGTTCGACATCACAGAGACGCCTTCTCTTGATGTCTTGCTTTCAGCACGCCGCCACGATGATGAAGTTTATTACATAAAAGTAGTGAGGCCTTCGGGTTTTCAGCAAGTGAGCGAGATGGAGGAATCAAGTGAAGGTGAAATGAAACAGCGATCGTAACCAGTGAAAGAAAGAGCTGTCATAAAGTGTCACAGGTTAAAGTGATAAAAATGTTCTAGGCCTTTGTTTTGACTACAGACATTGTAGCAGCAGATTCACTTACTTTAACTTTACATTTGAATCCAATATATACATATCAAATTACAGTTGTGGACCCCTGTTGCCTAACGCTGTGTAGGATTGTGTATGTTACACTTAATCCTGAAAACCAGCTTTTTATACTGTTGATGAAGGGAGAAAAGAAACACTTGAAATTGCAAATTTTGGCTTCACAAAAGGGTTTTACTTTTGCTGTCATGTTGTACATCTGTTATTTTATGTTTTATGCTGTATTTTAATGTGTGGTGAGTTTGTATGGCTTCTAATTTAGCCAGGTATCTCTTGGAAAAGAGATTTTTAATCTCAATGTGACTTCATGGTAAAATAAAGGAAATAATAATTTTTAAAAAAGAAAATATTGTCATTGAACATTAAGCATTTTAAATATGCATTTAAACAAATAGGAAATAAAAATACCTACTGGTATATTGTATCCTTTTTGCAGTTATAAGGATGTATTAATAATTTGCAAAGACACATATAGTCACACATAGAGTCTGGTTTGCTGCATTAAGGATTTTCTGAGTAAAGACAAACAGCAATTGTATACAACGGAGCCAGTAGAGGGTGGTGTTACAAAAAAATTAGGGAACCAAGGAGTGTTACTGCAATTTGAGCTGAGGTTAACTGTTTGTAAGTCATCTTTTTCCATATCTTTTTCGAGTCCCAGTCAGTCAGCTGTTTCTCACAGACTCGATAACCTGTTAGTCACAAGCTGACTACACTTTCAAATTTCATTTTCATACTGTTTGAGAATCAGAACTCAACATCCAATGCAGTTCCACGATACTGTGTAAAAGCATGCAATTTCTCAAGAAAACCAAAAGTCATCAAAAGTGTGAGTCAGGGGCGGAGCCAGACATTGTAAACATTCGGGGCTTAGTCCCAATTTAAATCGATATTCAGGGGACATGTTCCCATTCACTGCAGCTACATGCTGTTGACTGTATCAAGACATTTGTACATCATTTGGGAAAAACATTCAAGTTGCCCAGGAAAAAAAAATCATCCTAAGCCTGCATCATATTTTGAATCTAATTGTTCTCTGTCTCCATCATTCTGAAACCACAACACAACAGATTTTGACAACGATTAATTTTACTGTCACATAAAAAGAGGCAAAGATTGTCTGATGTGACTATTTTGAATTTACATGACACAGTTGGGGAATGAATTCGGAATAAACAGCATCACTAATCTTGAAACCTATTTTTGTTTCCTCCAGACATGATACTTAGAATTGAGGCCAAAGAGTTGGATCTTGGTTTCATCAGACCGTCAGCTGTGAGACCTTATATAGACAGGTGTGTGTCCAATCAGCTGAGTTTACCACAGGTGGACTCCAATCAAGGTGTAGAAACATCTCAGAGATGATCAAGAGAAATTGGAGGCATCTCAACTAAATTTCAGGTGTCGTAGCAAAGCGTCTGAATACTTGTGTCAATGTGATATTTCAGTTTTTCCTTTTTAATGAATTTGCAAAAATTCTGTTTTCCCTTTGTATTATTTATGAACTCACTGATGACAGCGATAATTAAACATACCCATGTTGATCCAGGGGATACGCAGCACTCTGTTGAGCTCTCTGCCTGGAGAGCTGTTGGCTGGTCTGGGGTCAGTGTGAAGCTCAAAGTTGAGGATAAACACAATGACCAGGCCGTCTTCATTCTTCACTGGAAGCACATCTATCTCACAGTTGAAACACACTCCTGCAGCGACAGAGAGACGCAGAGGAGTGGAGAATGGAGGGAGAATTCACTTCACTTCTGATGACCTGTGACCAGCAACAGGAAGAAGAGATGAGTCAGTGGATTAGTGTAATTCTGAATCTCTCCTCTAGATGGCAACATCAGCTGCTCGTTATATCATCTGAGTGTCTACACCTGTTGATATTTCCACCATTTGAACAACTATCTTAAAAACTCTATATGTCAACCCTCCCTAATGATCAGTCATGACAGCTTCAAATGGCTTTTTGAGGGACACCTGCCGTGACTGAAGTCAGTGTCAGGATAAGTCTCTACCACATGAATGAAACTGAAAGTAACGTCCTTTGTGCAGATTGAAATGTGAGGAGTGAAGTACACGCGCCAAGCAGCAGGCGCATTCAAAAGTTCTCAAAGAATTTCCAAGTACTTTTAATGTTATCCAGAGAAGGTGACAAGATGATTGCAAAATAACAAATGGAGGGCAAGCTAGCATCGGCAGCTAGCATTAGCATTTACTTCCTTTTATTGGTGGAAAAAAATGGACAAACAGAAGGTGACACCGAAGACATTGTAATCATGAAGCATGATAGAAAAAGAAAAAGTGTAAATAGTGACATTTTGTGTGTGTGTGTGTGTGAAAGTTGATTGTATACAATAGCAATGACAATAATAGTAAAAATAATAATTGCAGGTAATAATGACATTGATAACAATTGTAATACTAACAATGATATATCATAATAATTGTAATAAATGATAATGTTGATAATGGCAGCAATGTACGTGTGCACAGCTAGTTTGCTGGCATTGTTCGTTGATGAATGAATTTAACGATTTATAAGATTGCAGAATAGTACATCTATAGCCTTGAATCATATATTCAGGGCTTTTGGGAAAACATCCAGGGCTGAAGCCCCATAAACTGCCCCCCTTGCTCTGCCTATGTTCTATAGTTACAGATCACAAATACTCAGATCATGTGTAAATTTTTAAGAGACACAGTTAAAGACAGTTACAGTCCCAAGTTACAAAACTGAAACACTTAAAAGCAAATTTCTTAGCGGGGTATTCAGTTTAGTTGTACTCCATTTTTATGGCTCTAAAAAGATTGAACAAGGGGGAGACATTTACCTTCACTTCAAAAGAAAGCAGGCAGTGTAAGATACAGGGGAGGCGACAGGAGAGAGGATGTCGTAATATCTAGATTAAACCGGGAGATGGCAGTAATGCAATCGAGCTGCCGTTAAAAATTCGAAGAAGAAGAAAGCTTACCGGAAGTATCACAGCGGCTTGATACGGAAGTGAAACTGCGAATCGATGCGCTTGGCGTGAACGAGAGGAGAACTTTTAATGTTGTAATATTTCGCTTTTTTTATACGACCGTTAAACACCAACAAACTCCTGTATAGTATCCTCGCGGTTCCAAACTCCAAGATGTTCAACAGACAGACGAGCCTGTGGATGGGTGATGTATGTCTGAAGTCTGTTTCTTTCACGTTAGCCTAGCTTCGCGTGCTGTTTGCTAGCTCCGATAGATAAAGTTAGCCCGGATACGTGACCCAAGTCGTAAAAGGTTACACAAAACCCTGTTCTTAGTACTGTGTTTGAAGAATTTGGCGTAACACCTTTCAGCAAGACCCAGTAGTAACTTCTGCGGTGAAATGAGTCACCAAAAAACCTGTTGTGTGTTGCCCACAAAGCTGTTCTCCTCGTAGCAAGCGTAAGCTAACCAACTTGGATTTAAACTAATCGTTAAAGTTCACGTGTAATAAGTGTAACTGCAGCCTGATGCATTAAATAAAATTACACACAAAATGAGAGAGTGCATTAGCAATTTATGGAAGTATCTCGAGTAAATTGGTAGAGGTTTAAGTTGAGTTTGAGTTGAGGATCTTCTCATTCTGGCCGATCTTGGTGGAGCCTTGTAACTGAACTAACGTACACCGAAATAACCTGACAGTCTGAATGTTACACGTTAGTTGTTGGTCATTACATGTTTTCATTTTGGACTAGAAACGGATGGTTTACAAACTTAACGTCAAAATAGTGTCTGGAAAAGTTAGCAAGTTAATATTTTCATAACGTTTCAAGTGCAGCAAATATTAAAGTGTAACCCTAGTTATACCACTGCCAGCTCTCAACCTAGCCCCAGTGTGTGCCTCACATTACACCTGAGACTGCTATGATTAAGATTTATTACATTCTTAAAATAAGAAGCTGCAATCTGCTACAACACTTTGAAGTTAAATTTGCACCAGTGAGTCTTTGAAATGACAGGCTATAAATGTCATAACTTTACAGTTAGTTCACATAGATTTTACATTATGAAGCCGTGTACGTGCTCTTGTACTATTAGGAACATTTCAGTTTAGTTGAGATTTAATGTAACTTTGTGTTAAATTTCTTTGCATGTGTGTTTAGTTGGACCCATACATGGATGAAAACTTCATCAAGCAGGCTTTCAGTGCTATGGGAGAATCGCCGTTTGGAGTCAAGATCATCACTCACAGGATAACAGGGTAGGTTATACAGAGCACTTCATGCTACACACCAACCTCTATGAACAGCTACGGGTCTACCCCTCACCCTTAAATATATCATATAAGATCTCTGAAGATTTAGGAAAATTCACTTCTATTGAACATTATGAAAGTATAATGTTTGCAACAATTATTGACATTTATTGAACAAAAATATAGCTGTCATTAATTTTCCTATTTAGTCAAGTCCTTTTTTCCAGAATTAACTTGCATCACCACACTGTTATATTATCAAACGCTAAAGTGTTAATTTACTAAAATGTAATGTAATTTTCAGTGATAAAATAATTTAAATTCTCAGCGTTTCTTGAAGGGAATCCTCGAAATAACATGTAATGTTAATATCTCTGTGAGGGAATCATTGCATTACTTAAGCTGGATTTGTACAAGTCTAGACTGAAGCTCAGGTGGCCTCGACTTTGTTATTCATTCATGTGTGCCTTTTATACTGTTAATGCAATTGTTAAATATACACATGCTTGTGATGTAAATCATTCCTCAGTATCGATCCCTGTCATGTCTGTCCTCCTGCGCAGTGGTTCTGCAGGATACTGCTTTGTGGAGCTGGCAGATGAAGCAAGCGTCGACCGCTGTGTCCAAAGACTGAACGGAAAACTGGTTCCTGGATCTAATCCGGTAAGTTCTGTGGTGTAATTGCAAAATACTTGTTCATATATCTTTGATGCAATCCTTACTGCTTTATATTATTATTGTTTCTCCACAAATACATAAATATCATTGAAAATTTAATACCGCCTTCCTTTTTTTTCAGTGTTAGACTGTTGTTATCAAACAGTATGTAATTAATGATTTGACTGTGGATAGCGGAGCTCAACTAGTCTTGGTCCTCCTTTGTTACGACAGAAACTAAACAGGATTGGATGCAAATAAGTCAATTATAGCCAGTAGTAATTGATTGAGTGAGCCAGATCTCTTCAATTTGCTATTTGTGTTGCTTTTGCTACCACTATTGTGCTTTCACAGTCAGTTAAACCAAACTTTTACAAAAATGCAATACTAAATACCAGTCGCAGATACTAATTAGTGAAACTACTCTTTATTGGCTGCAGTGACAGTAAGTCGACTTTAGTGTCTGGTGATGTAAAACAAAACGAAAAAAATCATGCCAGCTTGAACAGTTTTGAAGTCTGAAGTGACGTGTAAAGTTGTGAGCTGTAGTTGCTTGCTACTGAATTTGAAACGCTGTTGCCTCTGTGAGCTGGCCAAGCTACTGGACTCCCCTGTCCACCGGCCTGTACCTGCTGCTGAAGGTGGCTAAGAGGCTGCTTGTACATGAATGTACTTTGTTTGAAGCTGGTGAATAGAGTCTCTGGTAGGAACTAACTGAGGAATGGGCTAAAGGCTGGTCTGGGTGGTGGAGGTATGTATACCCAAATAACAACAACCATAATAACTCCACTCTCTATTTCCAGCAATATCAGTGCTATAGTACACATCTCTGGTGTTTGAGGTCGGCTTAGTGAGTGTGTTTTCTCTCCACATGTGCAGCCCCGGAAGTTTAAGCTAAACTATGCCACCTATGGGAAACGGCCAGAGGCAGGGTAAGATATGATTTACATTCAACTTTCCTTATCAAATGTCGATGTTTGAATCAGAATTTTAATTTACAAAACTTAATTTTATTAACAAACTAAATTTACACCCTGAAACACAAGTGGCACACTCATTAACTTGAACCAGAACCAGAACTGCTCCTTTAATTCTTGACAGTGATATAGTTGTATAAGCAGGAGTATTTGATCAAAGTCTTTCCTTCTCTCAGGCCAGAATTTTCAGTGTTTGTAGGCGACTTGGCCTCTGAGGTGGACGACTTCCAGCTGCACCAAGTTTTTAAGAAGTACCCTTCCTGCAAAGGAGCCAAAGTCGTCACAGACCAGTATGGATACTCCAGGTACGTCAGCTCACAGAGGTGGATCGGATAGCGATGTGGCTTCAGAGAAATGTTAAAAGTATGAAAAAGATGATTCCTTGAACTACATATTGCTTTTTTAATGTCCTTGGTGTTATGTGTAATATTCTGTTTGAATATTTTTGTAAGAAATGTTCAATAATATAAAATGTCTCCTGGTTTTGATAGTATCATGATGGCAGTGCTGTGGACGTTGACCACCAAGTTCATCTTAATCTATTTTCAAAAAAAGGCTGAAGACATGTTTTCTTGAGGTCTTATGCTAAAACTATTGTTTTCCCCATATAGGCTAAGCAAGAGCAACTCACAATTCAAGTGATGCTACCTCATGTTAAAAGTAAAACAACAAGTTTCAGTTCTACCATAATAATACCCATTATATTCTCTTTTCTCATTATAAGTGGCTATGTAATGCCAAGTATGTAGTGTGTGTTGGTGTGGAGCGGAGGTGTAAGAGTTGTTTGACTTGCAGAGGCTACGGCTTTGTCAAGTTCGGGGAGGAGACCGAGCAGAAGAAGGCGATCGAGGAGTGCCAGGGAACGATGCTCGGCGGAAAGCCGCTCAGACTCAGCATCGCTGTAGCAAAGAGGTGAGACGCTGACAAAGAAACACGACGGATCATGGCTGAAGATATAAACTACACATCCTCTCCCAAGATTTCATTAACCCCAGATTAAAGATATGAGTATGTATATAACTTAAATAAACTCAAATAAATAAATGACTTACTCATACACACCACTCTGCTGCCCGAGATACTCACTAGAAGACCAAATGTGGATTAATCCACTGCTGAAAATAGTCCTCAACAACAGTGCTGACGAGTTAACTCATGGATGGTTTTGATCTTTGATCTCGTGATTTGTCAGCAGTAAGAAAAGTAAACACATCGCCAGCATTATCCTTTTTTAAGTGGATATTAAACTGTAAAGGTTTATTTTAACATTTGAAACAGTATCTAGGTTGAGCAAAAAAAGAAATGCCTGAAGGTTGTAAATTCAAAATAGTTCCAGTATTATGAACAAAATGTCCAGTGGGATCCAAAAGTCTGGAGGAAAGTGGTCTCAGACTTTTGGACGCCACTGTAAGTGATGTGTGCCACTTTGATGAACCCGATGCAGTGCAGGTACTTTATATATTATTATTTCTATATTATATGTGAAACCTTACTGTGTTTCTTTTTTTTTTGCAGCCAAAAGATGAGCAGCTACCACGGGGGCCAGGGCCAGAATTACCATAGCAACTACAACCAGTCTCAGTCCAGTTACTACGGCAGCCAAAGCAGCGGGGGTCAGGGAGGTTACTACTCTCAGTGGGGGGGCTATGACCAGTACAGTGGCTACAACAGCAGCGGCTACAACAGCGGTTACAACAGTGGCTACAACAGTGGCTACAACTATAACTACGGGCCCTATGGATACCCCCCACCTGGCCACATGATGCCTCCACCTCCCATGGGGATGCCACCCATGTCCACTGACATGTCAGGAGCTGTAGAGGTGAGTGGAACACGTCCACACCTGTGCTCAAAGGAGTAATTAGATTGATTGTGAAATTTTCCAGGGTGTGTTGAGCAGGGCGGAAGTGTTAGCCTCTGCTGCTAGGGTGTTAATAGAAGACACATGCACCCTCCAATAGCTTCATACTGTCTTATTCACAGATCGAATCATGTTATCTGGTGTGCTAATGGACAACAACAGTTGCAGTTGGGACCTCTGACCATTTCCTTTGTGTTAAGCGAGGCTCAAATTGCGGAGCTAATTCTGTACTAAGTGCACAGCGATGAAATTGTATCAGTGTTCTCTAATGTAAAGTGATGTTTGCATATTTCTTTACAGGATAATCTCAGTGCTCATAATGTTGGCGTCTAATATTGAAGAATGATAAATTGAGTATGTTTAGATGCACACAAGAAACCAGAGTTTAGGTTAGCGAGTTAACTAACCTTTTTAGTCCTGCAGAGATTCAGTAAGAAACTTCATGATAATTCATGCACTTATTTACAATATATTCTCCGTCTGACTTTAATAACTAGAAATAATTTGTAGTGTTTTATCTCTTTTTAACTCCAGGCATGTGATCATATTGTTTACATTTCACCTTGTTGAATATCACCTTATGATGCCGCTATAACCGTATTTACCTGGAGGTATCAGCGTGTCTTCTCACATCATATTAAGAATTCATAGTTCTGTTCAGTTAAGCCAGATAAGGAAAAGTTATCCTGGGTATGTTGAACTTGCCTCGTAGTACAGGCCTCTGGCTATACAGGAAATCAGACAGCATGTGTTTCTGCTGTAGTAATCTAGTTGTAAATCCACGTATACGTGTTCTCCCTTACCCCAGCCTTCTTTTGGAACGAGCTGGGCTTCTTGCTAAAGAAAAACCAGGTTACTGCAGAAAACCAACAGTAATGTAGTTACTTGGTGTCTTCTAGTATTTCAGTGTTTATTATCATTTCTAATGTTTCATCTCTTTCCCCAGCAGAGTCACGAGGAGACGGAAGAAATGGAGGATGATAATGCTGAAGGTAAGACCCTGCACTGAACTGATTTGCTTTGGTACAACTTAGATATTTGCATATTAAACATAACTGGTAAATGTTATATTGACTGGAGACAACGTGAGACCGCTGAATAGGTTGTTCTTTGGGAGTCATAGTAACAGATACCTCACAGATAGAAAGTTTAAATCCATGACTCCAGGTTCGGTCTGGTGTCACAAAGATCTTCTCACCAGTACTTCCTGGCTAGCTGCTAGCGTAGCCACTGTAGCCATGGCGTTGTTAATGGTCAGATTGTGACGACACACACTGTGGATTGTGTTTAAATCATTGTTTGGGGGGGGTGGGGGTTTACAGAGCCCATCCCTGAATGTGACGTGGACCAGTGGAACAAAGACTTCATGCAGCGCAGCGAGGAGCTCTACGACGCCATGATGAACTGTCATTGGGAAACTCTGAACACCGTCGATTCCCCCATCCCCTCCCTCCCATGATAACTTTTTTTTTGTCTCTTCTGACCCCCCCACCCCTCCCCCCAACAAACCAGTGAATAATTTTTTTTAATGATTGTGTAATCCCCATAATCTTGATGATTTAAAGCTACATTGACGCCTTATAAAGGCCTCTTCACTTCAGTCTCTGAACTTTATCCAAGCCTGAACAAAGGCTGACAGTACTTGTTCCTCTTCAAATACTTAAAGTGCATATAAGCATTCACTTGATTTTAATGTTTACCATGTTGGTAATATACAGAGAGTTACTGTGTAGTCCATACTGTGTAGTATGAACTCCTCTATACACCAGAGCTAAAAGTTGAGGGATGAAGTGCTGACGTTGCCTTCTCTGCTGTCGATTGGCGCGGGTCAACGTTTTGCGTTTAATGATGTCACAGAGGAACAAACACCACTGTCATTCATTCATGTTGATCCACGCTGAACTGGTCACCAGCAAACGCTAACTTTGCTCTTTGAATACGGCCCCAACTCTTTAGGAAGGGAGAGTCCTCTGAAGACAGAAAATAAAACTATGCCTTTATCGTCATCTGCCATGTACTTCTACGATAGTCAATAGATTTTTTTTTATGTGTAAATACAAGATATCGATCTGTCTTGTCTTGTTCATTTTTAATGAAGGATGAATTTTCTTGTTTTTTTTTTTTCATTTTTCTGATAGATGTAATGAACTTTATCTGGAATGATGATGACGTGGAGTTTACCCAGCAACAGTCAGTCAGAAATGTAATTTATCACTGTTTTTTTTCTGTGTAATAGATGAATGGGACAACCTCTCAATACTGCTGAGCGCCAGCAAACTGTATGTCATGGTTTTGTGAGGCCGACACAGCTGGTTTGCTGTAGCAGATGTCCAGCTTTTTTCTTCCCTGCTGTCTGATGGCTGATGTTTTGTATGTTTTCTTTCTGGAGACGTTCTATCAAAAAAATACAATTTAAGAGGAAAATGATAAAATGATCTTCTGTCTTCTTTCTTTAGTGATGAGGTGAAGAATGAAGTGAAGATTGTCTGTTTTTTTCCCGTCAGTTTCCACAAAGTGAAACAGTTTTTAGAATTTGTTTTGCAAGTGTATTAAAAATCAAAACCTGACAATCTCTTATTTAGACGTATTCACACCCTTTGCTGTGGGATCTCCAAGTTGTGTCCTACGCTTCCTCTCAGGAGTCCACTTGTGGTAAATTGAATTGATTGTACATAGTTTAGAAAGACACACACCTGTGTGTCCAAGAGGTCCCACAATTCACACTGTATGTCAGGACAAAAACCAAACCGTGGAGTCCAAGGAACTCTCTCTAGACCTCCACAATAAAACTGTGGCTCAGCAACTGCTTTATTGTGGACGGACACATAAACAATCATACACACTGAGTTCACACCTACATTCAATACACAACTACCCTCCTTCTTACCCTGTCTTCCCCTCACCAGCTAACAACTACCCAACAAGCGCACGTCGGCTCATTTGGCCGTCTGAGACTAAGCAGAGGAACGTGAGGTCCTGGGGGATAAGGGTGAAGACAAATGGACTAAATAGATGAAAAGGCACAGAAACCTACAGTGAAAAGGCCCCCTCCTGAGGCTGGGGGTCTTTTCAAGGTGGGACATGTCTGTTAAGATGCTGTCAGACACTGATCTTTATGCAAAAGACACATAGAGAAACATGGATGTTTGATAGTATCTGTCAGCCATGGGCTTTAGAGAATTTCAGTATTTTATGACACACATTCTGAATTTATTCAAGTGTTGCAGAGATTTTAATGTTCACTAGAAAATCACATTTCCATCATTTGATTTCAGATACTAGTTTGTTTTTTCTCTGCATTGCAAACAGAACCTGAGCTGTGGGTTCAGGGATTCTCAAACATTTCCAACCTGCATCTAAATGGCAGCTGCCGTCTCTTGTGGGGACTCCCCCCTGTCATCTACTAGTCACACAACATGTTTGCACATACACTTTTAAAGCCCGCTTAATCCATTCGCTTGTTCGGCAGGATTGCTGATCTCACTGAGGACGACAAACGCGATTGGACGGGGTTTTTGTGTTTCTGGGAGAACCTTCAGTCGTCTCCAAACAGCCGCCGTTATCTAATGATTGAATTCATCTTTGAGGCAGCGTTGAGAGCCGTTTAAAGCTCTTTTGTTTCTCCGGTTAATTGTAGTGATCGTGGTTCAGTTGTGCATCTTCAGCTTCAGCACCGCCGGTCTTGGTCTTGAGCAGTCCCACTCCAGGCCTCCCGGGACAGTACCAGCTGGGCCCCAGGCGGTACCAACCCTGGTACAGTCCCCTCCAGCTCAGACAGCCTAGAGCGCCCCCCAGCAGCTGGGTGGGGAACTGAGGGAAGTAAGCTAAGAGACAGAAGAGAAGAAAGATCCAGAGTCCGAGCAGGAGAACACAGAACAGGAAGAGGATCCTCAGAGGAGCGTCTGAGATCCCGCCCAGACTTAGATAAGGACCAAACACGGCCATCTCCTCTGCCAACAGCAGGCAGCAAAGACAGAGAAGGAAGACATCCTCTGAAACTTCATATCCTCTCCACAACATCCCAGCTTTGAGGCATTCAGACTTGCTCTCCCCTTCTCGTAGCACCAGCAGAGGCTGGCCGTTGGTATCTCCTGCGTCAGTGATCAAAGATTCATAGCAGCTTCCTGTGGCGTTCTCCAGCTGGTCCAGGAGCTTGCAGAAAATAAACCACAGTGCACCAGCCACCCCGAGCCTGGAGAGGTGACGGATGGAGAGAGCGAGGGAACGACGGATGGAGAAGGAGAGGAGGAAGACGAAGGAACCGACAAAGACGCAGGTCCAGCCCCAGCCGGAGCGCAGGAAGATCCTGGAGGAGGGAGAGGAGCGATGAGGACAGTGTTAGCAGGGAAGTTATAGATTAGAGGAGGAAGTGATGAGAGAAATTATGTCATGACAAATTAGTGTAAATATATAAAAGCCACCATTGAGAAGAAAGTAGACCTCATTTATTGCTGCTAATAAATGCACTTGAGTTGTAAATGCAATGTGACTTTTTATATATTTTATTATTCTTAATCTTTTTATTTTTATATGCTCTGCTCATTATCTCATCATCTGCTGCACAAAACTTGCCTTTTGGTTTAACCAGCAGTTTCTTCACAGCAGCTGTTTGCAGTAAAAACACTTTAATGAACCCACTGTCCGCTGTCTGCTCGGCACCAAACAGCTGACAGACACAGTTGGAGAGCAGCTGGTGGAGGTCAGAGCATCACACTCATCACCCTAATAGATACTGTGGCTCCGCGTCTAATACATTTAAGGCATAAGAAGTTCACCATGTCAGCTGTATAAGGACACATTACGCCAGTGTTTATACTTTGTTTGTTTCATTGAAATGAACTTTTAAGAAAAATCAAGCTTGATTGATGTCTGTCAGTGTCATTTACTGTCTGTACTGTGTGACGCAATGTCGTACGCTGTAGGTTACTGTACAGATTAGTACACAGTGAATGCTTCACATGTGGTATTAGTACGCAGGGGAGACCGGGGGATGGTTGTAACAGTGTCGCTTTCACCAATAAGCCATTTGACCTTAGAATCATGATCAGTTTCATGCATGACCACTTCCTTCCTGACCTTGCATGTGAAGCTGTGAAAAGGTTTTACATGCAAATAATTTTTTGGAACATTTTTGATGAGTGCTTATACTGTTGAAGTTAGAATTATGTAACTTGTATTAAATTACAGAGTCTCTTTGGTAAAATGTGACTTCCCCCATGCTTCTACAGCAGGGTAAACAATGACTGTTACAACTAACCCAGTAATGACAACTAAACATATTCTTCGTGTGCCTGCACATGTACTTCTATAAAGTTTTAAAGGTCTTGGGAACAGCTCATTGTTGTGGATTACAGCTGTTTTTAAAGTGCTTTAAAAGTCAGTGGTGAGTTGTTTTTGTGCTTGGTGACCAACATGAAGAATGGTGAAGTGTTGGCACATGTGCAATAAACTTATTTAGATGCATAATTTGTGCTGTGGGCTGAATTTTTAATTTTTAACTTTTAGTGTTACAACTTGCCCCGAGAGTGGGGCAAAACTGTGGTATAGCTGGAGAAGTTGAAAACATTGCTAATTGTAATGAAATAATAAGAGTACGTTGTGTCAACATTTGAGAGCTCTATCACAAAAATTGTGTGAGTTAAAGGCGCTGAGACAAAAGGTTTTACAACCATCCATGATTTGGTTTATATTTATCACAGGAAACTTTGACTGTTATGATCTAATGTCAACAGCTTAACACAGAAGAGGAAACATGAACAAACATATTGTTGAACATATTCAGACTATACATCTGCATCAGCTTTAATCAAACAAACAAAACACTAACAACAACATGAAGGAAGATGGAGGCACTGGTCCAAAGTGGAGCCGGAAGTGAACAGGAAGCAGTCTCACCTGTAGAGAAAGTGGCTTCTCTTGGCGAAGATGCTGTGCTGGGAGACCCAGAAGCTGAGTGCAGGACTGAACATCACCACTGCAGATAGCAGCAGGTGGAAGTGCTGCCGGAAAACAGTGTTACCAAGGAGCCGGGCCGCCAGGTCCGTCAGGACCACCAGCACCGTGTTGAGGAACATCTGGGCCCAGAACCGAGACTCTTGACTGGGTGTTAAGTTAAATATGAAAATCCCCTGCTGCTGGCTCTGAATGCAGCAGTGTGTTTGTGTAGATTATCCACCTCAGACTAAACAGCATGCACTCGTTCATGTGATGAGGCTGTAATCCCAACGAGAATGTATTTAACACACCAGTAACTGTAATTACCACTGCTGCAGACTGGAATAACTCTGCATTTTATATCATCTAAAAGTCAGGTTGCAATCGATCAATCTATTCAAACTGTTCTTCAAAGGCTGCTGATCGGATCCATTTTCTTAGATGAAGATGAAGAAGATAAATCCAGAGCCTGCAGTGTGTCAGAGCTGCAGACTATGTGTGTGCAGCGTTGTAGTGAGAAACATGAATGAAACGACAGCTGGCTTCCAGCATTCCTCAGACTGAAAATATGCACACTGTGAATTCCAACCATGAAATTCTTCAATCCAGCAGACACTTGTGCTGACTCTGTGTTTACTGTATCTTCTTGTAGTTTCGGTGTGCTGTAGTTTTATCTGCAGTGCTCAGTTTTACAGTTTTCACTGAAGGCTTCACCACTGCTGCTGCTCTCCAAACCACATCACTGTTGCTTCACTGGGTTTCTCCGAGGGCAGTGAATTAAACATTAGTCTTTTCTGACCTTGTGAAGCACGTTTCCCAGTGACGTTGGCCTGCTTTCCTTTTGTTGTGCAGTGATTGTCATTGGTCCCTTCTGTGTCACTGCTGCAGAGATGCAATGGCCACCAACATATTCCACTCAGCAACAGCCACGGCTTCTGAATGTCTCCACTGTTCAAACTATCCTGCTGTAACTGTAGCTTCTCTGCTCTCCATTAGCACCCTCCCTCTCAAACACACACACACACACATACACATACTATTTATGTTCTCGCCCTGTCATATGTCTCCTGAACCTTAAGGTTGTCACATTACTCCTACTGAGATAACTGAAGGTTGATCCAATGACACTGATTCCTTGGTGTGTGTGTGAGAGTGTGTGAGTGTATGTGTTTGTGTGTGACATCACAGTGTTTCTGACTAATTTCATCTGAATTTGCAGCGGAAATCAAGGCTGGGCTGAGCAGCAGCGACAGAGCTGATGTTACAGAAAAGACATGACATGTCATCAGTGATGTGAAATTAGATGCAGTGTGTCACACTATGTGTTTGTATGTATGTTCATGTGTATTAATAGCGGTAACCTTTGTACTGTATCTGGTTTGAGACTCAGCTGTTGCAGCAGTCTGTCTCTGTCAATCAATGAATGCCGACACACAGTTCACACACGTTTACTGCCCTTTCTCTCTTTCTCTTCTCGCTCTCTGATACCAAACACTTTAATTCAGGTTCTGTTTCTTTAAAGGTCCATATAGTGTCCATGTGTTGTTTGCTTATAAAGCAGGTCTAGGTTCTATATTAATACTGTGGAAGTATCAAGGTGCGGAGTCCACAGAGAAACACACACAGCCTGTGTTCAGAAACTAAGCCTTAAACCCAGCCGTCAGGACTTCTGTACCTTTGTGACGTCACAACGAGGCAGTCACCGCTCTCAGCCACGCTCCAAGCCCCACCCACCTGGACCCACAATTCACACTTGCACAATTTGGTTTCTCTGTTTACCTGAAATCTGCTACATCTTTATTCAATCACTCAGAAAACAGTCAGCCAATCAGAAGAGAGGCTCAGAGCTAATTGATGTAGGTCAGTAAAAAAGATAGAGGTAACCTTTTTAAAATCTTGACGCAACTAAAACATCTTCTCAGTCGGTGGACGGTTCATTCATTTCTTATTCACACCACTGTAACCTTCTTCTGTCCTCTCCTGTTCTGTGCACTCCTGAAATATCTGACTCAGCTGAAATGTCGTCTGTCCAGAAATAAAAGCTGACCTGGTTTCAAAGTGTTAAATGTCTTCCTTCAGGCTGAACACTCTGAACACTGACATCTCTAAAGTTGACTCACTGTAGGACAAACATCACATACATATATATATATATATCATAGTATATTAAGGCTTAAAAATGTCAAAATATGTCATCGTATAGTAAGGCATAAAAATGTCAAAGAATGTCATTATAGTAGGGCATAAAACTTCATAATATAGTAAGGCATAAAAATATCAAAAAACATCATAGTATAGTAAAGCATAAAAATGTCACGAAATGTCATAGTATACTAAGGCAAAAAAACGTAAAAAACTTCACAGAATAGTAAGGCATAAAAATGTCAAAAAATGTCATAGTATGGTAAGGCATAAAAAATGTCACGAAATGTCATAGTATACTAAGGCAAAAAAATGTAAAAAACTTCACAGAATAGTAAGGCATAAAACATTATAGTATAGTAAGGCTTAAAAATGTAAAAGATGTCATAGTATTGAAAGGCATAAAAATGTCATAGTATAGTAAGGCATAAAACATTATAGAATAGTAAGGCTTAAAAATGTAAAAGACGTCATAGTATTGTAAGGCATAAAAATGTCATAGTATAGTAAGGCATAAAACATCATAGTATAGTAAGGCATAAAACGTCATAATGTAGTAAGGCATAAAAATGTCAAAAAACACCATAGTATAGTAAGGCATAAAATAGTCATAGTATGGCAAGGCATCAAAATGTCAAAAAAACGTCATAGTATAATAAGGCAGAAAAACGTCACAAAACGTCATAGTAAAGTAAGGCATAAAAATTTCAAAAAACATCATAGTAAAGTAAGGCATAAAAACGTCATAGTATGGCAAGGCATCAAAATGTCAAAAAAACGTCATAGTATAATAAGGCAGAAAAACGTCACAAATCGTCATAGTAAAGTAAGGCATGAAAATGTCATAGTATAGTAAGGCATAAAAATTTCAAAAAACGTCATAGTATAGTAAGGCATGAAAACGTCATAGTATAGTAAGGTATAAAAATGTCAAAAAACGTCATAGTATAGTAAGGCATGAAAACGTCATAGTATAGCAAGGTATAAAAATGTCAAAAAACGTCATAGTATAGCAAGGCATAAAAATGTAAAAAAAACATAATAGTATAGTAAGGCATAAAAATGTCAAAAAACATCATAGTATACTGAGGCATAAAAATGTCAAAAAACACCTTAGTGTAATAAGGCATAAAAATGTCAAAAAACGTCATAGTATAGTAAGACATAAGAATGTCAAAAAATGTCATAGTATAGTAAGGCATAAAAACGCCAAAAACGTCATAGTATAGTAAGGCATAAAAATGTCATAGTATAGTAAGGCATAAAACATCATAGTATAGTAAGGCATAAAAACGTCAAAAACCTCATAGTATAATAAGGCATAAAAATGTCAAAAAACACTATAGTATAATAAGGCATAAAAATGTCAAAAAATGTCATAGTATAGTAAGGCATAAAAACGTCAAAAACATCATAGTATTTTAAGGCATAAAAATGTCATAGTATAGTAAGGCATAAAAACGTCAAAAACCTCATAGTATAATAAGGCATAAAAATGTCAAAAAACACCATAGTANGGCATAAAAATGTCAAAAAACGTCATAGTATAGTAAGGCATAAAAACGTCATAGTATAATAAGGCATAAAAACATCATAGTATAGTATGGCATAAAAATGTCAAAAAACGTCATAGTATAGTATGGCATAAAATGTCAAAAAAAACATGATCTTATACTAAGGCAGAAATGGTCATAAAAACATCACAGTATNCGTCATAGTATAATACGGCATAAAAATGTCAAAAAAACGTCATAGTATAGTAAGGCATAAAAATGTAAGAAAAAATGTCATACTATAGTAAGGCATAAAAAATGTCAAAAAAACGTCATAGTATAGTATGGCATAAAAATGTCACAAAACGTCATAGTATAGTAAGACATGAAACGTCATAGTATAATAAGGCATAAAAATGTCAAAAAACGTCATAGTATAGTAAGGCATAAAAACGTCATAGTATAATANCGTCAAAAACCTCATAGTATAATAAGGCATAAAAATGTCAAAAAACACTATAGTATAATGAGGCATAAAAATGTCAAAAAATGTCATAGTATAGTAAGGCATAAAAACGTCAAAAACATCATAGTATTTTAAGGCATAAAAATGTCATAGTATAGTAAGGCATAAAAATGTCAAAAAACACCATAGTATAATAAGGCATAAAAATGTCACAAGACGTCATAGTATAGTAAGGCATAAAACATCATAGTATAGTAAGGCATAAAAACGTCACAAAACGTCATCGTATAGTAAGGCATTAAAACGTCATAGTATAGTAAGGCATAAAAATGTCACAAAACGTCATAGTATAGTAAGGCAATAAAACGACATAATATAGTAAGGCATAAAAATATCAAAAAACATCATAGTATAGTAAGGCATAAAAATCTCACAAAACTTCATAGTATAGTAAGGCATTAAAATGTCATAGTATATTAAGACATAAAAATGTCAAAAAATGTCATAGTATAGTAAGGCATAAAAATGTCATAGTATAGTAAGGCATAAAACATCATAGTATAGTAAGGCCTAAAAATGTCACAAAATGTCATAGTATAGTAAGGCAAAAAAACATCAAAAACCTCATAGTATAATAAGGCATAAAAATGTCACAAAACGTCATAGTACAGTAAGGAAGGAAAACGTCATAGTATAGCAAGGTATAAAAATATCACAAAATGTCATAGTATAATAAAGCATAAAAACATCACGAAATGTAATAGTATAGTAAGGCATTAAAACGTCATAGTATAGTAAGGCATAAAAATGTCATAGTATAATAAGGCATAAAAATGTCAAAAAATGTCATAGTATAGTAAGGCATAAAAATGTCAAAAAATGTCATAGTATAGTAAGGCATAAAAATGTCATAGTATAGTAAGGCATAAAACATCATAGTATAGTAAGGCATAAAAACGTCATAGTATAGTAAGGCATAAAAATGTCAAAAAATGTCATAGTATAGTAAGGCATAAAAATGTCATAGTATAGTAAGGCA